GTTTAGGTTCCAGAGAAGGTGGCTGCACAACTGAAGGAAGGGGCTTATTAGCGGAAATTGAAATTGAAATCGGGTCCGAAGACTTACCAGATTGTAGTGGCAATGACTCAAGGACAGCCACTATCTCAATCATATGTACATTAGGGGGCACGGCATGGTGTTCTCCATGCATACTGTGGGTGGCCAATGTGGTTGATCAATTGTTTTTTACTTCCATTCCTCTTGTAATGACCAATTCTAGTGCATCTTCAATCAATTATTCAAAATGGTCCTACGCCAAGGAATCAATTACATCAATAGAAAAACATGAATGATCATCACTAGGATACTTGATAGATTCAGAAAGATTGAAATTAATAACTTCCCCATCAAATTCCATTGTCAAAGTCCCATTAAACACATCAATCTTAGTGCGGGCAGTTTTCATGAATGGTCGTCCAAGGAGGATTGGCAACGAAGGGGAATGGTTTGATTCTTCCATTTCAAGCACGTAAAAATCTGCCAGAAAGATTAAATGATTGACTTGCACTAAAACATCTTCCAAAACACCCTTTGGATAGGCATTAGATCTATCGGCCAATTGAATAATCACACCATCATTTTTTAACTCACCTAGGTTCATAGATGCATAAATTGAGTAAGGCAAGACATTAATAGATGCACTTAAGTCTAGCATGGCATGTTCAAAACGATTATTGCCAATAATACAAGGAATTGTAAAACTACCCGGATCTTTGCATTTAGGGGGCATTTTACGTTGTAAGATGGCTGAGACATTTTCATTTACCTTGACAACCTCCTTGTTCGAAATTCTCTTCCTAGTGGTGCAAAATTCTTTTAAAAACTTGGCATACCCTGGAACTTGCTTAATTGCATCCAAAAGTGGTATATTGACTTGTACTTTTCTAAATGTCTCCAGAATGTCCTTTTCAACCTCCTCCTTCTTCGATTGCATGAATCTACGAGGAAAGGGTACATTTGGGGGAATAACATTAGAAATAATCGAATTTGGAACCTCCTTACCTTTGGAAGACGAATGGGAATGTTTGGGTGGCTGCGGCATGGTTGGTGCTACCCTTGCCATGGCTTGCTCTTGTTCATCCTCCTCGAATTGCAACTTTTCGTCCTCAATTGGGACTGATTTCGATGGTTGTGAGGCTGTTCCAACTTGTTTTCCACTTTGCAACATGATTGCTTTAGCAGATTTGAATCCTTATTTTGGGTTGACAACGGTTGAACTAGGCAACTTGCCTTGTTCTCTAAATTGGCCCATGAACTCCGCAATCTGCCCTACTTGCTTCTCTAATTCATCAAACTTTTTGTCCTTATTTTGCATTCCCTGCGCCATAGAAATTAGTAATTGAAAAATTTGATCATTATCTATGGATGAACCTGATTTGGATTGGGCAGGTTGTGCTTGGGGTCGTGTGGGTGCATACGCCTTTTGGTAGAATCCAAGAGGTTGCTGCCTAAATGTACTTTGTTGTTGGGGTTGTTGGGGCTCTCTCCATTTGAAATTTGGATGATCTTTCCAACCGGGATTGTATGTATTAGAGAAAGGATCACTCCTTGGTTGGTTTTGGCTCCCATAACCCACGGCATTGGCAGATTTCCACCCTCCGTTCTCGATCAATTGAGGGCACTTATCCGTGAGATGTCCATTCATTGAGCACACACCACAAACAGCCACACTTTGTACCTTTGGTATTTCAACCGCCTGCGAAAGAAGAGAAGTAAGATTAGCCATTTGATTTTGAAGTTCGGAAGTAGCACTTACCTCATTAACTTGTTGCTGCTGTGGTATGTCTCTTTGACCAACGCCTTCATATTGTTGAGCATTTAAAGCTCGGTTGGCAATGAGAGTCTTGGCAGCCATGGGTGTTTTGTCCACTAAAGCTTCTCCCGTTGAGGCGTCTAGCATTTGGCGTTCAATTGGTAGAAGCCCTTTGTAGAAATATTAAAGAAGAAGCTCCTCCTTCATTTGGTGTTATGGACATGAAGCAACAAGAGTTTTAAAACGTTCATAATAAGTTGGAAATGATTCACCTTGGTTTTGCTGAATGCCACTAATCCTTTTACGTAAAAGAATGACTTGAGAAGTTGGGAAAAACTTCTCCAAAAATGCCTGTTTCATACTCTCCCATGATGTGACAGTTCCGGAGGCTAGTTCATACAACCAATCTTTAGCCTTTTTCCAAGAGAGAAAAGGGAAAAGCCTTCATCTTCAAAATGCTCCCATCAACATTCACCGGGGTCATGCTTGAGCAAACAACCTCAAACTCCTTCAAGTGTTTATTAGGATCTTCCATGGACAACCCATGGAACTTAGGAATATGGTGCAGTAAGCTAGACTTTAATTCGAACTCGTCGGTCTTGTCTAGGGCTGCCCTTGGATATTGAATGCATAGAGGCATGGCATTGTCCAATCCCGAAGCGGAAAGCTTCTTGATTGTTCGATTGTTTGCTGCCATAGCTTGTTCTTCCTCAAAAATTTGAGTCGTGGTCTCCTCTTCCACTTGTACTTCGTCTTCTTCAAGATCTGGTGCAGGTTGAGGTGGTTGGGGCTTTTGTTAACTCTTCTTCCTTCTCAAAGTTCGCTCGAAATCGTCATCAAAGTCTACGATATGTGCATGAACTGGTTGAGAACTCCGAGTCATAAACTAGTACCTAAAAACAAGTAAACAAAACAAGGTCAGCAACTAAAACAAAAAACACACGAAATTAAACAAAAAGAAATAACAAAGGATTAGCAAAGTTGCAAATCCCCGGCAACGGCGCCAAAATTTGATGCGAAAATTAACTTAACACACAAATTAAACCCTCTTTTGACAATTATAGTATATATGTAAGTAAGGATCGTTCTTAAACCGGGGATTAGGAGGGATTGCTAAAACACTTTAAACTGACTCAAATAGATAAACCTAAGCTTTAAAACACTTAACTAAACTTAAAGACTCAAAACAAGTTCACAAAACTCAAAATAAGCTAAAAACACTCAAAACTACCTAAAAACACAAACTGGGCAGATTTGACTATAAACACAATTTTGGACGAATTTTAGTTTTAACTTGACTCAAAACACTTGAAAACACAATCTAAAACAAATTCTAACTAGTTAGACACTCCAAAATAAAGGGGGATTTGGTTTTGGACGAAAATAAAGTAAACAAAATAAGTACTAAAACTAGGCATATTTGCACGAATTTGGTGGAAATAGAAGGATGGTGGGCTAGCTAGGAGGTCTTTCTCCACACATGACATACTTGCATACAAAACAATCTCCAGTTGCTTTTTCAATGAACCATGAACCTCAACACCCTAAATTAATTAGGTACGCTTAAATTAACTCTCAGATTTTCCTTAAGTCATTGAATTGAATGGAATTAGCGCATTGCAATCAAATTATTCCTCAAAAGTTCTCTACATGAAAGCGCATAATAGAGAAACAATCAGAGATCATTAAATTCTATGAAAATCATAAGTGTTGACAAGGCGTTCCTAACTATGAAAGCGCATGATACTTATGCCAGGAATTTACTTAACATGATTGTGACTAACAACCTTTACTACTTATGAATATAAGTTCACAACGATTAGGTGAAGCTCCCTTATATCCTAGCATCAGATTTATGCATGCAAATTAAGTGTACACTCTCAACCAACATACATAAACAAGTTTTAATTCAAACAGATAAGTAAATTGAATTCACAATTCATAAAATCACAACTGGAAGTAATCAAATCATATTGCAAATATAGCCATGGTTTCGAAATTCCCCCTAGCTAAGAGGGGATTAGTTCCTCATACTCACAAAACCAAGATTATTGAGTTTAAACATTGAAAACACAAGAAAGATTACACCTAAAATGTTCCTGCAACTCCAATTTGAATGGCATGCATGTCTAAGGGCTTTCCTTCTTTTTCCTTGCTGCGGCACAAGGTGTGGTTGGTGGTTTTGGGGGTGATGAATGGTGTATTCTTGCTTAGGATGATGAATGATGGATGAGGAGGGTGGAAAGTTGTGGCAGGTTGTAGATGGATGTGAATGGATTGAATGAAGGACGTAGAATGGCGTCTAGGGCTTACGGCAAGGGTTTTTCTGAATTACATGAGGGTTATCCCGAAATTGTGGCTGAAAATACGTATATATAGGTTCGGCCAACCCTAGGGTTAATTAGATTAGGGTTACAACTTAGCAGATTTTAAGGATTAGGGCCCTAGGGTTGGCACAAGTCATTAAGTCCACTTAGATGGGGGTTTGGCCTAATTAATTTCAGAAAAAGGATTTGTATAACCCAAATCCACAAGGAATAAGGCCTAATAAATCAACATTCACAAGGGAAAAGGGATAGAGGGGTGTGGTAAATATTGGAGGGAAAGGAGAATGGGTTGCAAGGCAAGGCAAGGCTTTCTAGAAAGGAATAAGCGTCACCTTTGTAGGGTTTCTAGAAACAATGTGCTTTTGTGGCTGATTTGGGACTTTTAGAAGAGAATGCTTCTAGAAATAGGTTCTAGAAATATATATTTAGGTCCCCTTGCAGCTAAGATTAAGGCATGATAAGGTTACGATAGGATAAGATAAGATAAGGTTAGATAAGGTTTTGGATAATGTTTCCTCTTTTGAGCTGATTCCTTATCTTCTTTGTCTTTAATTTAATTTCTTCATCTTCTTATCAGATTCCTAGCCTTTTGAACTCCAAATTCGTCCATCCATCTTGGCCCATACATGTGCTATCCATTTAGTGCCCAAAACTGCTCCAAAATGCACCAAAATGCACTTTCTTGCTATTTTAACCCTTTGGACCTACAAACACACGACAATAACTTGAAATACTACATTAACTAAGAAATAACAACACAAATGCACAAGAACAAGCTAACTAAGTCGCATAAATATGCTCCTATCAGATTATATGCGATGTTTTCAACACGTCGCAAATACTATTTGCTACGGTTTTGAGATGGCAAGTAACGCGTCGCAAATAATTGGCACTAGGTATAAAAAAAATATTGGGCGTCAAATGGGACGCCACAATTACATTATTCTTAATAGTTTCACCATAATTGTTTTGTGTGAAATATTACTACATATTTCGAACTAAAATAAAATCCAATACCAATACAATTCATAATTCACAAAATGAGAAACACTCATATATCAAAGAATGTATTTCACTTACATTAATGAAACATATATGCTGATCAAAACGTTTATAGGTTCTATATTCCTATGTCAAAGTTCTCATGCTAGTACAAACCATGTAGAATTGTCTTCAAACTTCTGCTTCCACTTCTTGTCATAAACCTCCTCAAATATGTCCTTAAACCTGGGGCAATCAAATAACTCAACATTTGTAATCATTTCCTTATAGAATTATAGAATTGATAGTTGAATGTTGAATAATTCTTCCAACAAAGGTAAATTTACCTACCATCGTACTTCACTATTTCTTCATAATAGTGCTTTTGGTTCTTAAGTATAGTGGTCACTTCTTGGAATGAGCCAACGACATCTACAAGTTGGCAAATGCTTGAATACACTACCAAAAAACCAAGGTTTTGTTAGTAAAGTTTATCAGCACATTTGCCTAAACAAACAAAAAGGTATGCGATGCCCATTGTGGTAACATAAACCTCATTAGCATTATACATAGAAAGGGCCACACCAGGCCCTTTGAAATTGTAAACATCAAGTGTAATAGGGGAGACTCTTTCTCGGACTTAGCATTACAAACAGATAGATGCGTAGCAGAAAACCATATTTAAGGAGAAATTACTTCACCAGCACAATCATATGATTTAGAATGTTGAGATTTACTTACCAAAAACCATTTCAAGTTTTCATGGCCTTTTGACAACTGTATCAAGCTCAATACTGATCGCCAAAGGCATGCCTACGAATACACATGGCTTTCTTCCAACCTATAAATTGGACACATATTGAGCACTTCCCACATCATTTTACTTACATTCAAGATTAGAAATGACTTCAAGCCATTAACAGGAACTATTCTAGGGATGTTTTTACGTAGAATAGGTTCATGAAAAAATAGCACCTGTAAAATAAAGCATTACATTTCAATTAGAGATTGTTCAAATAGTTAGGTAATCTTTCAGATGCCAACTTAAGTTGTAACTTATTAATGAAAACGAGTAAATCACAACATTGACAACAAATGACATAAACCAAGAATTTACAAATTACTTACTTTCTTGGAATGCTTATTTACTTTTCTTTCTTCCTGCTTCGTATGATCCTTTATGGCCCCAAGAAAATAACCTACTCTCTTGCTTCTTCGCAAACCTTTCCCTATATTGATGTCATCAGAATGCCCCACTTCACCTTCTACCTTCAAACTACACCCTATTCTCACTTTTCTTAGAGGCCCACTTTCCATTTTCTCCTCCGTCTTGCTCTCATTTCTACTCATCATTCACCATTCCTTTCCAAAGAGTTCTTCCCTTTTCCTATACAAATCTCACTTTTTTCTGACCACTCTGTGCTTCTTCACAAAAGCACTGCCATTGTCTCTGCATTCAACAATGCTTTATTCCTCATCCTTCTCCAATTAATCCACCCCCAAATTTTTGCTTCTCTTGCTAATTGAGTCACTAGTGCCAATAAAGAATAAATAAACAAAACCAAGCTAGCATACTTCTTTGACTAGCTTGAATTACAAAAAATCCTCCAACAATATTAGCAATTAATGATGAAATTGAACATAGAAAAGGCAAAAAAAAAAAAAAAAAACCCCCTAAACACTAGGAGAACTAATGGAGAATAGATAAGATTGGAATTTGCGGAAAAATGATGAAACAACACCAAGAAAAAACAAATTAGAAGATAATTCCTCAAATAATCTTATCGAATGAGAAGGGATGAGGTTGAATTCGAATTTCTAGCAGCAAAAAGAAAAAACTAAGATATGACAAAAACTATTAGGGTTAGGGAAGGGGAGATTTGAGAGAGCAACAAGAAACATAACTCCTTACCTAGTTCAATTCTGTCTCAGCATCAGTGGTTGACAGGTTGTGACAAGAGTGGCAAAGAAGGATCTATGCTTTGAAGAGAGGGAGATAGGCGGAGAACGAGGGAGGCGGAGAGCGAGAAAGAGATGAGAGCATGCAGTTATGTTTTTTTTTCTTCTACTTATTCACAATAGAGGTTGTGCGACAAAACTTATTCCTGTCGTAAACAACAGAGCGCCAAAGTTTAGTGCGCATAAAATAATAAAATTTAATAGTTATTGCCAGGGCTGCACCACGCGTCGTAAAAAAGATGTTGCAATTGACAAGGAGACTACCCATTGTGTGATCCTTATCATTCCAGCTTTATCACCGTGAATATCCATGATTCATATCCTATACAGGAGTTGTAATACAATCATGACCATTTAAGCTAGTAACCCTAATAACACATATTCCTTATCAGCTAAACATAGGTAATCCAAATCTCTAATAATCTCACGTGCAGAACAAAAGCCAACCAAGTGTATGGTTGGGTATTCCAAATTTCGGGATTCCTAAGATATTTTTGGTATTGCGGTATGGTATGGTTAAGGATTTCAATTTAATTCCTATTTGTCTTCTTGTAAATAGGGGCCCCTGAAGTTCACAAAATTGAAAACCTCGAAATCCAAAACCCTAGAAGTCAAATACCTAAATTGAAAACAAATTGAAGCCATTTCACCCAAAACTAAACAAAGCTACTTTCATTTCTTTTGCACAAAACAGAATATATATATATGCTTAATACATAAACAGCTCTGAGTCATCCAATATATATGTTTGACAATGTTGCTGCTGCATCTGCAAGCCAGCAAGTAATAAAACAAAAAATTTCTTACAAATTGTGTTTAATAGCATTATCATTCATCAATATCAGGCATCATATGTTGCTGTCAGCTACAACTTAAGGTTTGAAGGTCTGAGCCCTTCAAACAAAGCCAAACTCTTGGTCAAGATAGACGATGCTATCAGCTGAGCTGCTACCATTCCTGCAACATGTTTTTTAGTGAGAGATGAGATGTAGAGAGAGAAAGATTAGAGAGGTCAGTCGAGAGAGAGAGGTGAGTCACTTGTGTTATGTGGCCGGATTCGAAGATGTCAAATAAGGAGGAGAGAGCGATAGAAATCAGTGAAGGATGAGAGACAAAGACAGTAAGGTGAGGTGAGGTGAGGTGAGGTGAGGTCGGGAGAGAGAGTGAGGGTTTTATTTGGATTCAACAATTGTGATTAAATCTCAACCAAATCCAACGGCTGTTACAATTATATATATATATATTTAAAATTAAATAATATATATATTTTTTATTTCGGTTTAGTTTGGAATTACCGAACGAATGAATATGTGAGACTGATTCCCATACCTTAATTTTAGGATCAGTTCGGAATTGGGTAGAATATCGACGAAACTCGTCGGAGATGACCGCAAGTCATCCATGACGATGGTTTCTCACCAAAAATTGGTGAATTACGTTGGTTTGGGCTTGGAAAATTCAAGGAAATTGCAAGTGGCCCTCTACCACAATAGTGGAGATGAGTGTTGCCCTTGCAGCACAACATGGGTTTTGAATCCCATCCGCTCCCTAATCTAACATCTAATCTAATAAATCTATCGTTTGAACCCAAAAAAATATAATAAAAACACTTTGTGCTGCTAAAGGATGGTTTGCCAGTGCTTTCATAATATGCACGGCACTCCCCTCCACCCGCATAACTATAGGCTAGAAACAAAAAGAAAGTTAAAAGATACCATGAACCGATAACATAACAAATACAAGAGCATAATAACGTACAAGCAAAGATTAAGTTCAGTATGAAAAAAACTACTAGTGGCTGGCTGTAGTTCAAATATGCGAAATATACACCTCAAACAGGGAGGAAGACATGATGTTAGAATAACAGCAAATCCTGGCATGCTCAAATAATGTCACGATCCAAAATGTTACAAGGTTCTACTTTGCATACATCCATGTGTAACAAACATGTATGGTTTTGTGTACCATTAAGTAAAAGCCACCTCAAGCCACCTCAAGCCGACGGACTTGACCTGCATCACCATCATAATCTTCCTCACTTTTAAATAGTTCATCACGATCAGTAGCCTTTTGCTTTTCAATGGCTTCATCAGAATCCAGAAGGGCATTGAGAATATGAATGAGACAGCACAATATCCCCGAATCAAGGGAGAGATTGTTTATCAATAGGCTGCAAACAGAAAAAGGAAACAAGTATGAACAGCATACAGTACGGATGAAGGACCAAAAAATCAAAGTTAAAACCAAATAGAGGTCTCCAACTCAGACATGAATGACATTGACAACCGATTTTGGTAACTGAATCCAACAAAAATCAAATGAGGAAAAACAAGTTTTCAGTGACACAAGGACGATAAACATACAAACGATATATGCAATCAGTGATGGTACTTATGTTTTGTCATCCATGAACTTACATCAAAGTAACGGGTAATTTTTCATCATGGCAACATTTCATGACCCGCAATCACGTCCTCTGAAAACACAAATTTCAAGGAAAAATAAGACCTTTATTTTCTATTTTATTTTGGAGGAAGAAGTAACATTCAATCGGAAATAAGGGTTCACAGGCAATGTAAGAGAAATGTACCTGATGAAAGGATGAAACCATCAGATCTAACTACTTAACAAAGAAAAACTCTTTCATATATGTTCTGAAAGGTAACAAGTGTTCAATAGAAGCTGGTGAAAGAGAGGTAAATACAGCAGAACCAGTTCTTACACCAGCCAAGCACATCTCCTCATGAATGGAAAGTAACGAAATAGGAAACAAAACATATCCTAATGAATTCTCTCCCACTAGGATCAAACGGATTTTCTCCCATTTTCCATTTCCCCGCCCATTCATTCTTTTCTATGAAGTCGGATGCTACAAAGAAAGTAACATTTGGTACCTTTCAGAAACATATATGAAAGAGATTTTCTTTGTTTGGCATTACGTATATCCTCCCTAAGCCAGACACCACCAGCTTCTACCGGCTAAAAATGTTATTATATCAGAAACAAGACATACTAAGGCTGCAGAAAGTCACATTAAAATAACCCAGCACAAGGAATAGATGTTTAGTTCAACGAAAAGAAGGAAGGCCGATGAACCAATTACCAGGTCTACATGAGACTTCCACATATTCAAGCAGCAAATTCACAATGCCCATGGTATATGTAGAATCACCGCAATCAGGATTGAAATCTTTGACAGCCATTAAAAGAACTTTGATCTGCACAGATGGAACATAAAATCATAATGTGAGAATAATTTTAAAACGATTACAAGAAAAGCTTGGATCACGCCATGATTTGAAAATAATACATACTAAAACAGTCAGCATAGCCTGTGTAGTCATCATTGGCTAGCTTATGTTGCTGATAGATAATAAAACTATATGCTTATCCAACATTAGAGGGCATATGTGCGGTATGCATGGTCAGTTGCGCAGTCATAATTAGTATATTTAGGATTTAACCATTGTCAATGCAGTGCACGCATATAATATATTACCATACCAGATGATGTTTACGAATATGTTTTGCTGTGCTCCTGTTGCCATTGACCAAGAGAAGAACAAGAATCTGGAAAGATAACCACAACTTAGCACAAACAAAATCCGAATTACAGGTTCTAAAAACTAATTTAAGATTAAGACTGTGGAAGATGTTGCTATCCAACTATGTCTTTACAAACAGGGAAGGCAATACGTGCAATGTATCTACCTGCATGGCATGCCTATGAAGCTGAATGCTGTGCAGCAGAACTGGGCCCTCCTTATGTCGAGAGAAGACTATCAAAGAGCCATTCGCAACCATCTGAACAAGCAACTGAAGAGAATCATCCTCAATCAAACTTTGTGCTGCCAAAGGATGGTTTGCCAGTGCTTTCATAATATGCACAGCAATCCCCAGTACCTGCATAATTATAGGTTAGCAACAAAAAGAAGGTTAAAAACATACAATGAACCGATAACCTAACAAATACAAGAGCACAGTAACGTACAAGCAAACATTAAGTTCAGTATGAATAAAATGTCACGCGCTACTACTGGCTGTAGTTCAAATATTTTAAATATACACCTCAAACAGGGAAAACCTGGCATGTTAAAAAAATGTCATGCTTCAAAATGGTACAAGGTTCTACTTGTACGGTTGTACCAAACACAACGTAACAGCTATTAAGCCTACTGTGTTTTCAAAATCAAACTTTGCATACATCCATGTGTAACAAACATGTGTAGTTTTGTGTACCATTAAGTAAAAGCTACCTCAAGCCGACGGACTTGACCTGCATCACCGTCATAATCTTTCTCAGTTGTAAATAGTTCATCACGATCAGTAGCCTTTTGCTTTTGATTGGCTTCATCAGGATCCAGAAGGGCATTGAGAATATGAACGAGACAGCACAATATCCCCGAATCAAGGAGGGAGTGTTTATAAATATGCTGCAAGAAAAAGGAAACAAGCATAGACAGCGTACGGTACGAATGAAGGACAAAAAAATCACTTAAGTCCGTCACAACCAAAGAGGTATCCTAATCTAGTGAAATTAAGAAATTCTACCCTTGAAGCTAGAACTTGTAGAGGAGGGAAAAAATACAGATGTTAGAATAACAGCAAATCCTGGCATGTTCAAATAATGTCACGATTCATGCTACAGGTTATACTTGTACCAAACACAACATAACAGGAATTAAGCCTATTGTGTTTTCCGAATCAAACTTTGCATACATCCATGATCCTTGTGTAACAAACATGTATGGTTTTGTGTACCATTAATTAAAAGCTACCTCAAGCCGACGGACTTGACCAGCATCACCATCATAACCTTTCTTTCCTATAAATAGTTCATCACAATCAGTAGCCTTTTGGGCTGTTCGAGACATGCAGGTCAATATTGCAGACCAGGGAGCAATAGGGGGAACCGTTCCATTTTCTACCATTTTTTCTCAAAACAGTGGCATGCAGGAATATGTGATCCGGCTTTGGCAAGACGAAAAGACAGATAAATCAGCGTCTCCTCTAACAAGTTCTGTTTTGTTTTTGCAATAGCATGCTCTACCAGCCCTCAGCCTTCTCAAGCTAGCCACTGAACACGAAAGCTTTCGACAAGACTCGTTAGGAGCTCATTCATAACATATTTCATAGGAAAATTTTCCGTCTGCACGTGCTGCTCATGCAACTTCCATGCATCATTTAGTCTATGCTCATCAATTGCATTCTGTATGTCCCCAGTTAGTTTAGAAGGATCTCGAGCCTGGCCTGGACCAAGATTGTTCCCACCACAGTTGAAAAGCAGTTTCCTTTAACTGCAAGTCTCCCTGGTAATCCTAAAATATCTTGTAAACTCCACTTGGCCAACGAAGAAAACCCAAAAGAACACAGAAACCAGCCCGGCATTTGAACAAGCTCAAACCTGAGGATTCCGAGAACATATAGAGCAGAAAGTTAAACTGAAGTTGTCCAATGATGGATGAATTTCTTCACAGAAAAGAATCTTAACCACAAAAAATTTTACCACTCAATTCCTAACTTGCCTATTTCTAACTTGAGGAGCAAGTAACCAAAGACATTGAAGTGGCCAGCGTCGTTGAGGCATTTAATCAAGCAGCTGGTGGTCGAACTGAGGTTGAAAGGAGAAAAGCGTTTTACTGGACGTGCAGGGATAAGTTCAAGTTAATTTGGCGCCGGCATGTCGGGCGGAGTCGGATAAAAAGAGCCTGGAAGAAGAAAGAGGAGGAAAGTTTGAATATCTAACGTTACAGAGAGGGAGAGAGGGAGCTGTGGAAATGAGCGGGCGAGGGAAAGAAGCCGGGTCGGTTTTGCGAACAAATAAAAACGGGTTCTCTATTGGGCCTATTCATGGACACGTTGAACCGGTGGGCTGCTTTATTCCTTGGTGTAGTTGGTTTGGTTTGGTTTGGTTTGATTTAATAAATTTTCCCATTCGGACATGGGGCCAAATATGGCCCTTAGCCTTACAATCCTTGAAACCTTCGAAGTAATATGCAGTAAAAAGGTTAACTAAGGACTTGGAGTCTATTTCAACAGAGTTCTTGTACTTTGACACCAAAGAAGAATTCAACACCTTGAGTTTCTCCGCTACATCTTGGATCTTCTTGAGGGTCTTAGTATGAGCACTAATAAGTTCCTAATGATGGCTGGAAGATAAGGAAGAGTTAACTTGACACAATTTATCTGCTCGGAGCTTCTTGAAGACATGCTTGGCAACTCCATCAAAGTTGTCCAATGAAGCTTCTCGCAAGACATCAGGATGAATTGAAGCTACTCTCTTCCTCTTCTTATTGTTGATGTCAGGGTTGGATTGATTGTTGATGTCAGGGTTGGATTGAAGGACGGAAGAAATGAGTTGGTCATTGGAAGGCTGAGCTGGTTGGGGTATGGTGTCCACAGTGCTTTTCAACTGGAGTTCATGAAGTTCGATTCTGATTTCTGTTGGTTTCTCTTGAATCTCTAATTGAAGAATCCAGGTTCGGTTCGCAAGCTCTTTGTTGAAACTCGTCATTCATCTAGCTGAATCTTGGTTTCTTTCTAATTTAGGGCTTAGCATTTTTATATTAGCTTGATGCTATATATTACCCGTCCCATCAATGTCCCCCAAACCTAACTCCAACCCCTGTGATTTGGAAATCAATCTTGGAACGGGGTTCTAGAGATTTTTAATTTCTTATTGCACTAGGAGTCTAGGACTGTTATTATATTATTATCATTATATTTTTTTCATACAACGATGTATCTATATTACGGAGTTAGAAGAATAAATTATTTGCAACCTCGACACCCAAGAGATTTGAACCTTAAAATCTCTACATTACAAGTGAATAGAACCTTCACTGGACGAAACTTTTTTGACTAACTTTCTTTATCATTCCTTTTTGAACACTTTCTTTATTATTAAGGATATGTTTTTTAATTCAAACCCATAAGTGCGACTGCATTTTATGGTTGGCATGCTACATGTAGGAACAAAGTAGTCTAAAACCAACAAACGATTTCGGCTACTTTTATGGTTGGCATGCTACATGTGGGAAATAAGAAAAAAAATGGATGCACTTATGCCTAACTCTTTATTACTTAATGAGAGGCCTTGGCCTATAAAAGGAGGTGTAGGCATAACTCAAATACAACAAGGAAGAAAGGAAAATAGCAAGAAGCCATTCGGCATAGAGAAGAATTTTCTCAAATTGTCTTGCTTTGTATTTTTGGTTTTCTCTTCCTATTGTAAGTGTGTGAGCTTGGGTTATTCGGGTCTTTGGGAAATTGAGTGATAAACACTATTGTATGTTCTCATTGATTATAGTGAAATACTCCGTCGTCTCCAAACTGGATGTAGGCATTGCCGAACCAGTATAAATGTTGGTGTTCTTGTTGGTATTGTTCCATTTATCTGTTATCAGTTTCTAGGGTTTATTATTTTTTCACTCACACTTGTTAAAGCTTCCGCACAACAATATATTGTTTATATAAAACTATTAAACTCGATATTCACTTAATATGTTGACTGTAGATATGACCAGCAAAAAGAAAGAAGAGGTTTCCGGATCAGTACGATTAGTTATCATGGATGCTCATTTAATAACTATCAATTTTTTCTTGTCTTATTTCACTAAAGGTCAATCACAACATGTATGGCACAAGGATTCTGATGATCTCTGTTATCTCATCGATCAAATATATGAAGGTCGGACGTTGGACGAGTTGACGACTGTTTGTATAGAAAAGTACAAGTCTTTCCTCCAGAGTTTCACAAATTCTGTTAATATTTGTCATGAAGACGGGAAAATCAGCAACATAAGTTTGGTGAGGTTCTACATGTTCAGTAATTCAACCTTCTGGAGCAGCAAGGAAAAGGTGCAGCTAATTGCAAACGTTTACACACTCCATAAAGACGAGACCTTTGATATGATTAGGGCATTCACAGCTCAATTTGGTAATTGGAAGTATGATGACTGGCAATGTGAAGTGGACAACCATGTCATTTTCAAGGCTGTGAAAAATTATCAACAGAACAAATGCCGACTCCGCCAAGGTAGAAGTCCTCAGAATTCCAACTCCTGTTATACAACTGCAGAAAGTTTGTTATTGTATGTGCACGACTGTACGAAGCACTACTGGGAACATGCAAAGCGGTTACAACAGGTGAGTCTCATCACCCTACAAAATTAATACCTACTTGTCAGCACGCATCTTCTAACCTTTTCTTTCCTTTTCTTTTAAATGAACAGAAAGAACATGGACCAAGTCGAGTACTGGAGAAGTTGACAAAGCTGTTTCCTAAACGCTGATAAAGTTAGACATCCTCGGTTCATGTCAAGGGAGATAGTGAGAGGGGTAATCGCGGCATGAGAAGCAAAGACATTTCAAGGAGTTTGAAAAATTTAATGAACGGCAGTTACTTTTTGAGTAGATTCTAGTTCTTAAGAATTAATGAGAATTTTCAAGAGAAGTTTGATAGCAGGCAGTTGGTTCTTTTTCGGGCTCTGTTTTTGGGTGTGTGTCTGTGCAGCACGTCTTTCTTTTGTGGTAGCCAGAACTCATGTTTTTGGAGGATTATACATTACGCGTGAGCTAGTTGGCCTTTTGTAATAGTGGTACAAACAAAAGTTAATTGCATTTTGCAAGTAGCTAAGTGGACCTATAAACAAAAGTTAATTGCATTTTGTCTTCAAGTTTTATTTGTTTAGCAAGACACCTTTCTACTTCTTTTGAAGTGCTGAATTTCATGAATGTTTTGAACTTTTATGGAACGTTATATTGTGTGGGGAAGGAAAAGACTAACATACAAAGTTATATTAGTTAATTGAACCCTATATATTTGAATGAAAAAGAAAATAAAACATTGTTATTATAAACAAAAAAAACCTTGTTTATGCAACCTTTTTTATTCCTTTCATTGTTTCCTGATAATTTTGGTGGAAAGTATTTAGCTTTTGTCCACGTCAGAATTTTAAGATTAATCAAATTCCAAATTAGATTTTCCTTCTTTACTTAACAAATTCATTTATCTATGGCGTGATTACCAAACGAGGTTAAAGGGGAAGAATGAAATTGCACTCTTCCAAAGCATTTGCTTTCCAACGTTTATTAGCATTTTGGGAATAAAAAAACAGGTGGGGTCCACCCAATATCAGTAATTGTCTAATTGAAAAAAAAAATTGAAGATCTACCATAAAACTAATATATTTTTATATTTAAGATCTTGTATATCTATATAATCTGTAATTAAGTTGAGAGGAACATATATGCATATGATGATGATTGTGCAACGCATTTTCAATATCAAAATCCTAGACTATGGTCAAGCACAAAAAACCAAATATTAAAATTGCAATTCAACTAGTGAATGAAAATTAATCATCAATTTGAATCCATGAATCAAACAATCAAATAACTAAAGTACTCATAGGGCTTCCTCTTAGCCTTAGCTAAGAGCTTAGAACCCCATGAACAAAGAATTCATAGTAATTCTCGTAAGGAAATTTTGCATAAAATAAAACTAGAGAAAAAGAACCAAATTACTGCCGCTTTGCCGCTGCCTTGTACCACACCAGAAGAAGCCTCGTTTCCCTTACTGCTACATTTTTTTCCCCTTTTATAAGTTGCACACCGTGAGACCAAACCGAACCCTGGGCTAAATACTAGTTTTTAGGTTTTATTCCCCCCCCCCCCCCCCCCCAACCCAAAAAAAAACCTAACCCATCTCATGCTAAATGTGTGGGCTAAAAGCTAAAAGCCAAATTCCTCCCAGGATCTAGCCCATAAAATGGTGTGGGCACCACCAGCGGGACCCCACCCACATGGGCATGTTTCCCAGGATTTATTGAATCCAACGGCTGAGATCCAATATAATCAAATCTAACGATAAAAAAAAAAATCTAAAGGCTCAAATTTAAATCCAACGGTTAAAATAATTTAACTCAAAATTCACCCAAATTTATTGATTTTTCAATATTTAAATAATTTTAAGTTAAAATGTTCATAAAATTAAATTATGATATTGTACTTAATTTTTTTTAAATTACTTTAAAAGAAAAAATTAACCTAGATTTATTTTTTAATAATCTAAGGAAAGCAAAAACACCTTCAAATGCTAAACTCCCAACTGAAATAGGAAAGCAAAAACACCTTCAAACACGTCAAAGCTATTTTCTTTACCGATCTTAGACTTTTCGAATACATCCTTATTTGAAATAGATTAAATTTATGATAGTGGTTGTGGAAGAATTAAATCAATGTCTGCAATTGCCCATCGTGTATCATCCCGATTGTGCAACTGTAGTTACTGATGACCGCAGCAGAAAAGCTCATAGATATTGAATGCTCTTCAGTCAGCTCTATTTCCACCTTATGCGGAACTCTCGGATACTTTTGTGATGTTACTTTTCGATCATCAAGAAACCTTGTTAGCAAATTTTCAAGCTCGACGTTTTACCTTAGGCTTATGACGACAACATAATTGTTTAGTCTTTAGGCATAATTCTTTATTTTGAAATTGTTCGATTCTTTGATATTTTAGTCTGCATCAGTTTTGTTCATACCCTCAGATTCATCTCCTGGTACTAAAGGTATTTTAGTTGCTTTTGAGTTATTCATTTGTCCCCATATCATTTTTTATGTTGACAAACTGTGCAGGATGATCACTTAGACGTCGGAACTTTCAGTTTAGACCATCAGTCCTTGAATCAACCAATCAGCATTCTATCAAGCAAATCATCACCATTGGTGATTTATTACTTTTAGAACTATCGTTGTAATAAATTGTTGTGAATTTTAGGTCAAGAAAAAACATCTAAGTTTCCGTTCGTTAATCTTCCTTAAACTATCGTTCAAGTTGATTTATCTTCCAACCTTTTCGTTGCTAGCACATGGTTAAGTTAAATATTTTCACATGTTTAGACATCGAAATTGTATATTTAATTCTGATATCTTGTACTATAGATTTCACGGACTTGTTTTGACCCTCAATTTCTTGAGTGTTCTTTTAGCCTGCTCGATATGGTTTCTCGCTCAATCAGTGAGGAATTCACAATCAATCGACTTGGTAGATGTGTGCGCCAGTTTTTTTATTGATCCTAGTAGGAATCATTAGAATATAATCTTCTTACGAGTTTATCAAATTTACCAAGAAAAATTTTCCAAGCAACAGTTCAGTATGGATTTGGTGAAGGAATGAATGTAGGTTTTGAGCTTGGCGATTGTGGCATTAATTTTCAAGTGTGGCTCGAAATTGCAACTATTATTTGAAGAATTTTGTCAGAGATATGGTTTCTCTGATCAGAGCTTTTAGATCTTATACCCTACAATTTGGAGAGCAACTCTAGTGATTAGTCATGAAGGAAGCTTCTTGCAATATGTGTTCGTCTCCACGTATATTTCCACTGCTTCACTCCAAGGTCTTCTTGTTGTGGGAATGTAGACGTCTAAACACTTCTAACAGTTGGTTTGGTGCGCTCTAGGGTAGTATAGTATCGCGATCGAGGCATGAATAGGACGATCTAGGCATATTCGTATATGAGGAGCAAGACGATATTTTGGCATCCTTGGGAACTTCTCACTAGCTTATTAAGACAATGATGAGTTATCGGCATTATAAGCTGCAAACTGAAATATCAATGGCTTAATTGTTAGGTTCACTAAGCAAGTGGGTAAGATGGCCCATCTACAGCAACACTTACTAGTTAGCTATAGTTCAGACTTATTCTCGAAGTTTGTGACATGACGAATGTTTGATGAGACCCATTTTCATTTTGAGTTTTGATTTTTTGTACAAATATTTTCTTACTACATTATTTTATTTGGACGGGTATTTTTGCCATTACAAGTTTTGGGTGAGTTATTTTCACTCTTGGGTTTAAATTCAATACAAGTATTTGAATCGTACGTTTTAATATATATGTATCTATTCTTGATATTTTATTATATGTATATATTTTCCTTATGTTATTACATAATAATTGGTGTTTTCAACTTTACTGGTTTATATGGGAATTGTACTACCATATTATCGAGGAAGGAAGAAGGGATGAGCTTGGAGGCATGAAAGAGGAATAATAGCAATCCAATCACGACCGAAGGACATTTTCTTTTATGCAGCCGCTCTAACTCGATTTCTCCCTTGTGTATGTATTTATATAAATATTTTCTCCCTATTTCCAAGTATTTTACATTTAGCAAGTTATTTTAAACTTCGGGGACAAAATTTTATTAAGGGGGGTAGATTGTAATAGCCTATTCCTAAAAATTATGATTTTTATAATTTTAATAAGTGAAGTTACGAAAATGCCCTTCAAGGTAAAGTGTTGACTTTTGTTGACTACCATGTCATGCTACGTAAAGTTCATTTTCTTGGCATATTCTTGTAGTACTCATCACTACGGACGCGTGGGCATAAACAGGACGTGATTTGGAGTTATAACGGAAGAGCTATTGACGTTTAAAGTTAGGGATATTTTGGTAATTTTATTTAACTTGGAAGGCTCCAGATTTCTGGAGTAAAGATTTGTGAGGCCACGTGTGTGGCTGGGATGGAAGGAAAGAAAGAAATTGACGGCTGGGATAAGAAGGAGAGAAGAGAAAGGAGGAAAGGAGGGAGGAAGGTGACCAATCAGAAATAGGAGCAAGGAGGGGAAAAGAGAGAAGAAAACAGGGGAGACACGGGTTGGCCCGTGTAACCCGTCGGGCACCATCCACACCGCCACCTTCCCGACATTTTTCCGTCGGTTTTCCAGTGATCAAACCCTCACCACCACTTAAAAACTAATCTTTATCTTCCCCTCTTCCATTTCCAACTAAATTTTATTGGGTTTGAGCTTGAATTCAAGTAGAACGAAACTCGTGGGTTCCGTGGGTGCCATGGCGAAATCCGATGATCATGAAGTTAACCCAGCAAATTACCACCACTACTAGGCTCCCCTCAACCCCAGGAACAAAGCCCAAGAATGTTTGAGGCGTTGGGGTGAATTTGGAGGTTCAATCGAACATACCCAAGTTTAGGGTTCCGTACGGTTCGAGCTAAATTGGGGTTTTTTCCCAGTCAAATTGGCCTTAGTCACAGGTATGAAAGTTACTCCACTCATTGAGATCTTCATTCATGTAAAATTTGAGAATTTTTAGAAATAGTTGAATTTTCCAGCGAGTCATGGCAGCCGATCGCCACCGGTGACGGCGCGTGTCCAGTGGATCGCCGATGGTATTTTATGTTAAATCGATACATTGATCTTAAATTTGATATTCATGTGATGTGATTTGATATTTGCTTTAGGCGACTGTCATTCGAGATATCTCGATATTTATGCTAGGGAGTTGTAGCGCGGACTTTAGGTGAGTGGGCTTTTGGTTTTCTATACACACACACACACACACACACACACACACGTATATATGCTTTACATTTTCCCAGCAACTGTTTTGAAACGAGCATATTCTTTTAAATGTCATGTCATACTTGCGTTACATTTTAGTATATGCATTAGTGTAGTCATGCATAATGTTGCATGATGCTACAGAGCCCAGGTAAGTTACAGGTGAGTACATTATGATGTTAGTGGTTGTGATGTATATGGTTATGCCTAGATGCATTTGGTACTCATTATCTTGCACCCTGGTGTTAGTGCTCCACCTGAGGTCAAGGCCTAGGCTTCACGTGATCGTTCACCTT